GTATGCCTCCTCGTACAGAGCCTCTAGTGCCATTTCCCTGCTCATCCTGTCGTCTTCTTCCTGCTCCAGAGTATCATAGTATGCCTCCTCGTACAAAGCCTGGAGTGACATTCCCCTATTCATCCTTTCGTCTTCTTCTCTACTAAGCACGTCAAAGTAGGCGGTTTCTTGTAGGGACTCGTAGGCGAGTTCACGTAGAATTTGCACTTCGTCGTCCAGGTCTGATTCCGCATTGAGGAGCCATGCCATAATGTGGCCGAACTGAGGTGCCATTGTTGTCGTCGAATCTGTTTCAAAAAAGGTGCGGTGTACAAACGGTTACGCTTAGATCTTGATGCTGGGTTGAACATGTATCACGAGGAGTGCACCGCGCTAAGTCACGTGAAAGTCACGTGAGTATGTTGAATCGGCGAAGCGGCGCGTTGATTACCAGCTGCCAAGATTCACGGCCATCTATGTAAGTGTTCTCCCCACGAAGGGGGCCAGTGGTACGGCCAAATCTCCATCGTCGGGCAAATGCAGGTGGTCAAGTTCACCACCGACTGGCTGATCAATGAACCAGAATGCCTCTTGTTCGATGGAGAAATGGGCAAGTTGCACCAAACCCTTGTTCAAAATACAGCAGCTTCCGAGGCTAAGGCAGGAGGACAGCATGCGAGGACCAAAAAAAAGGACAACTAGTCAACTTTCTTCAGATGAATGAGTGCTCCAACAGTTATCGCTCAGCTCGGGTTCCTGGAAACCTCGGTCGAGGAGAGTTGGGAATTATTTCCTTAACATTCGTTTTCCTTTCTCTTTATCCTCTGCTTGCCAGCCAAACATTCTATGCATCGATGATGACCACAACCTTTACATTCTCCTCCGTCTTCGTCCCCTTCAACCTCACATTCCCTTTAGCAGTGACAACAAAATGGAGCTTTTCTCTAACGAATCGGCTTTGACACATAATGTTTCTGTAATCTTTAAATTCGCGACCTTCCCAACTCTACGTCGATTTAGGCTCGTGCGTCATGGTAGTCCTCCTCCTCCTCCTACTCCTCCTCCTACTCCTCCTCCTTTTACTACCTTAGGTCTTCCTCACTCTTTCTTTTCAGACTCTTTTCCGGGGGGGCTAGAGCGACATAGTTTTTTTGGTTTCAAGATGCGCCCACGGCCGGGTTCGAGATCGATTTGAGTTAAACAAAAACTACAAGGGAGAATTGTTACGTGGGCGCAATGCTGTATAACGAGCTGCCGTCCTTACTGTGAGGGTATTCTATTAAATGCTCGCCGAAGTGCTCTTTTAATTTATCCTCCTTCCGAGGTACTAGACCAAACCCCCGTTAACTTAGTAAAGGGTTTATATTCTAGACAGCTTACACCTGTTCCTATGTGGTTTAATATGACCTAGCTGGTCGTAGAATCTGGTTTATAGTTCGTTTCATAAGATATAGGTATATTCTAGTGTTGCCGTCAAGTTTTAGAATCTTGCGATGATAGCTTAAAGGAGAACTTGGACCAAGAGATATATCCCGCCTAAGCAACAGATGAAAGGTCCAACAATGAACATAACAACTCCGAAACCGACAGCTGTAATCCACCAAAGCATTGCCTTGAGGGACATATTTGTTGGGTCAGGTTTATGCTCATTTCCCAGAAGAAGTGCGCTGGGTTTATATCCATGTCTCTAGCCGAAGCCAGGTCACTCTCCACAACTCGGCCTCTAGCTGCGGAAACCCCTTTCGTAACAGCAGAGTCCTACTGCCAACTGTCGAAGAAGAATTGGACACCAACCGCCGTTCTTGGTCCTGTTATTTGCGGACCGCATGATGTCGGTCCAAATTGCTCAAGATTTGTCTCTCGTTGAATTCAAACATCAAACGTAAACGGTCCGTATTGACGAGGGATCATAGTAAATGGTCTGTGATGGGAGACCGGCTAGTGATCCTTTATTCAAAAGGATGTGGATCGCGTGAGGGGATCAGAAGGATATTGAGATTTCGGCGTCAAGTCATCGTCAAAGTCTTGATGGACGTCAGTCAATCTAGTACCAAATAAACTTGAATAGCTCACTCTGGGTCAAAGGAGAGACACCCAACCAGCAGCAAGGAGGCGCCTTTTTGGTGACAGGGTCTAGCTTATTGTCTTTGAAGGCTCCGGCGACCTCTTGCGCTTCTTAGATAGCCGCTCTCTTTGAATGCCTGTGTTCTCCACGACAAGTAAGGGCTCTCTGGCCAAAGGAGCATTGGAGTCATGGCCAAGCCATTCCAAAACTCATCATCGAGTAAAATCTTTCACAGTCATCAGGTGTCACGACAGCTTCGCCTTTTTCAAACCTGAAAAGACCCGCGTGGCAGTGAGCTGGTGCGAACCACATGTCTGCACACCAGGGAAAAAATTTGGGAACCTTGGCAGACAGTCATTGCGGACTACGGACAGGAGCATGACAAATAAAATCATGTGATTTGCATGCGAAATATCGGTTCAGCCAAGATGCCCCCGGAAGTTGGGCCCTTTTGAAAGGCGAAACCAAAAACAAGGAACACGGGGGTACGCTTCAGGAACTGCCAAGCGGTCCTCAGACACTGGGCACTTGCCAGGATTGGGTTGGACGCGTCACCACGCGAGGCAGCAGGCTACTGAGCACAGCCGGGCAACTGTAGCCGAGTACCTAAAAGGGCATCCGAGCCCGAACTGGCTTCTGCAGATCCACATCAGGGCAGTGCTCCCTCACAGCTCCCCCGGCGTTCCCCGTACTCTGCCGTAGCTCCCTGGAGGCTCTTCCGTGCTCGGCCGGGCCTCCTTGATGCTCCGTCACGTGCTAGATTAAAGCGGCCTCGCTCCCTTTCCCAAACGAAAATGGTAATGGATGAAGCACAGTTCGGGGCATATATAATATATATATATATTTTTGAAGCGCCATAACAAGGCGGCGCCTTATGTGCAACGTTTCTGAATTGACCTCGCAACGTTTACCGGGTTTGAGATGGACTGATTCAAGCCCGGAAATATGTTATGCCACTTTAGTTTCCAAATAGTAATTGTTTGCGCAGAAATGCCAACCCCAATAAGAACAAAGGTGTTTACATTGGTCGAGGGCTTGCCCCCTCGCTGTATTGAGCATAACTTGGCCGTCTTTCGACATGATGATGCGAAAATAAGGTCGCGATGCTGTTGGAATTGCAACCAGGACGACCGCTCGGTCGACGTGACCAGTCTGCGTCGACACGAGGCATATCCCCTCCTCTTCTCTCGCTGAGGTGGCGGAGGGTAGAATCACCGCTGACTCTTCGTGCCTTTGCGCCATCCTGAAATTGTACGGTGAAATGAACTGGAGTAGACTTTGACCTGAGAGATCCGAGATGATGATGCCAAACCAAGGCGACCCATCGCCATGCGACAACCTCCATCGCCGTGACTATCTCGACCAGGTCATTTGAGGCAAACAATAGTAGTACATATCAATGATCTGCAAATACAAACCGACAAACGCGTCATGTGGGTATCGTATCGAACAAAAAGTTCAGGGTTCACGCGTCAAGGATTATCATCCTTCGTCTTGCCTTCGCCCGATTTTGCCTTTTCCTCGGCATCGAGCTTTGCTTTTGCCTCTGCCTCTTGTTTCTCTTTCTCCTCTGGCGTCATTATCCATTCTCTTACATCTGCATGCCACTTGTGCCTACTTCTTATTAGCAGCTGTATCGCATTGTTTCAACATGAAGTCTGCATACCCATGGTGTTCCGTCCTGACCAAGGCCTGCTCGGTATATTCTTTTGCGAGGATTGGAATATACGAGTAGGGTACCTTGGCCTTGACACCTTCGAAGTGTGTTTCGCGGAGGGGAAAAATATCCTTGAGGGTATATTTGTGGTGGTTTTTACACATGATGATCCCTGGTTCAGTATCAGGGTGCGCTTCCGACAGGCCGGTAATGTCTATGAAGAGGCCGTTGTCGACACTGATAAATCGAGCATCGATTATCTAGTAAGAGAGGTAAGTCAATAGACTGCTCAGTAAGCAGCAAGTGGATATCTCCTACATTCGCCCCATCGCCTCTCACTCGCTCCCAAGCCATAGAGTTGACGTCAAGAAAATATCGGCGGGCAGGGGAGCCATCGCCTTGGTCGTAGTCGTAGTAGGTCTGGTTGAAGTGTTTCCCCAGCGTCTTGAGACCTTCGTCTGTCACCTATAGAAATGTGAGAGACAGCCCACCAATTGGCTAGTTGGATGCATACCTGGGTGTCAAGGTCCCAGTCCCAGGGAAGAATCTAGCACAGTTAATCCCGTAGTGTCATGCAGGATGCGAATGCCGTTGCCCACCTTGCCATTCCAATACCACGCGAGTAAGGAGCCGTGGGCGATCCAGGTCTCCACGCCGATATAATCGAAAGTCAAGAGGTAAGCGCGGATGAGATGCCTCAAAGTGTCCTGTCTTTCTTCGTCTGTCACAATTTTCTGAAAGTACCGGATGTCGTAGTGATGTAATAGATCATCTCCACCGGGTTCGTGAAAGTATTTTTTGTCATCCGGGTTTGGCTTGGGGGGTTCTTTGGTAGGTTTTGTAGATTCAGAGGCGGGGGTGGCAGAGGACGAGGCGACGAGAGAGGGAGAAAGGGATTGGGTGGGCTCAGGATCGCACTTGACCAAAGCCAACAGGGAGACAACAATGGGAAGTACCCAGTGCCTCGAGTCTAGGAGCAGCATGATCAACAACAAAGACGAACGCAGGACGCAAGCAGTCCATGTTCAGGGAGTCGACAAAAGGCGAAGGGAGCAGGCAACGAAAGGAAGAAGAGGCGGCGTGCTGATGAAGGCAAGACTGGCCCGAATGTCCAAGAATGAAACGGCTCTAATGAGGATGAGGCGACAAGGAATGAGACGGGGCACGGAGGATAAGGAAGAAGAACTGGCAGGAATGATAAGACTTTAGCCATGCGTTGATTTGCAGGCCATTGGTCTCAAGACAGGACCGTGAGTGGTCCACAGGAGACACAAGGGAGCTAGAAACGATGGAAAGAGATGACGGTTAAGGCCTGTGAGTATGAAGATCTTGGCAAGACTCAGGGCCAAAGGGGCCTTACAATGCCTGCTAAACCCTAAGGGTTCTCCAGGATCAACGCCCAGCATGGCTTGATTTGTCGAATGGTGGAAAGTGTCGCGTGAACGACTTCCTTAACTGGGGCTTACATGAGGCTGGATCATCCCAGCGTACGGAGAGTAGTCCCAAGCCAACAGCGCACGCCAGCAGAAGAGCCAGGAGTTTACCCGGAACTATGCTTAAGATTTTAAAAGGTATGTACCTAAGGTACCTCCCTTAGCCTAAGTAATAACCTTCCTTCAGTAGGTCAGAGTTCCGAGAAACCAGACGTTCCAGCGCAGAAATGGCCCAGGGCCCGGGTGTGGACAAACTCTGCACCAACCCCGCGTGCTATAATCTGTCAACCGTAAATGAGGCTGGCGCCGATCGATCCGGTGGAGGAACTCAATCTGGGCTTAAAGAAAGCCTCACTTACGTCTTCATATTCGCGTCCTCCCTACACACACCGTTATGATGTGGAGAAAAAGATTCTTTTTGGGACTTTGTGATGCCAACATCTCACTTCCGGTAGGGGATACGCGGCCCAAAACACAAGTCCGCGTAAGCGTGAGCGTAGGTGCATTGGGGAAAGTGGTCTTGTGCTCCCACGAAATAGATGCGCAGATGCATCCCGTAGCATCCTAGCCTAGCCTCCCGTGCCTCCCTGCGCCTAGTGGGTTACCACATCGGCAAATGTTCTACGGAGTAATGATGGATTATGTGCATTTTACGCGTCGCCTACGAGCACTTGGCATGCCAGACGCATAGGCTGTGCAAGGCCAAGGGCTGCTGTGTGCTGCACCACAGGCTTGGCCAGGTGGACGGATGTTGTGCAGGGAGCTCACGAAAATATGTGTGAGTAGTACGGATACATATACGACAAGAGTCAGGTAGCGCTTAACAGGTACCTAGTACTGCTACTCCGTAAGCTATGACGACAATCATAACCAAATGCCAGATGTTGAAGACGCGGAAGGTTCGGATCTCTCCAATTTCCTGTCGTTCAAGGTGTTCCCCGATGCCTATCGGATAATTGTCCGATGCGGTGATATTTTTGAGCCTGTGACTTGAATCATGTATAGTGTCCATCTCGAGGTATTTATCATGTCCACGAACCATGGGTAAAATATGCATCCAGGACGAGTACGATTACGGAGTACGCATAGGTCTCCACGTGGAGCTGGGGCGCGAGCGGCGGTCGATGCAGGGACTGTTTGGTGTGACCTTGGCGCGTTCTAATGGAGTGCCGAGGCTGCGAGTCAAGGCGCCCAAGGCGTACAGCAGCAAGTAGTACTGCAATTGCTGCTGACTGCCGCTTGATTACGGATGCATAAAGGAAGTCCTCTATATCTCACCATCTCTCACCACCTCTCACTATCTCACTCAGCAGCCCTTGTTAGCAATGAGAAAGACTCTCCTTCCACGCAGATGACACTCAACGGTTCTGTTCGATATGACCAGCACCCATGAAGATACAAGTGTCCAAGAACACAGCTCTGGTCGTGGCTAACTTTAGACCTGGATCCTTGCACAAATGATGTTGGCGACGTTTTATTGTGCGGATAATACGAGCGAGGGTGTCAATTCTGGCACGTAAGGAGTACCTACCTAGGCCAGGTCGCTACATACAGAGTAGGCACCTCAAGGTATGCGTTAGGTATCTGACGTGCTGTGGCGAGGACGCAAAAACCTCCGCGGCTGATTAGGTAATAACTGCACTCAATTACCTTGATAAGCGATACATAGAATATGCGTAGCGCGTCATCGTTCTGGAACCTGCCATGGGCTCCATCCGGGTGAGCGAGTCAAGGACAAAGCAATTGCGCCAGTGCCTTGCAATCCATATTGATCGCTAGCATTGCATCTTCATGTTTCTTCCAACTCTCTCAAGATCCTCCTTGCAAGACTAAAGTGCCATAAGACTGTCCTAATACAAAGATTTCCTAACACAACTTGGTCACCCATCAACGGACAACTGTTTGTCAGCGTCGACAGCGACCTTTGAGCATTGTTTACCCCCACATCCCAAAACTGAATTGCTCTGTGAATACACGAATTCGATGAAGGTACAATACCGCGACCAGCCTCTAGACTTGGAGGATATCGCAGACGAGACGATTGCCGACCTCGCAACAAGATGCGCTTCACACATCGGAGCCCAAGTCGAGCGAGTGTCCCTCTTCTTCTTACCCAAACCCGGCTTAACCAGATACCCATTTCCGGACCGCAGGCTAGTTGAGTTTCTCACGCCTGCGACTCGGATCAAGCTTGTCGGTGCGCCAGATGGCGAAGTCAAGAAGATGGAAGACATGGGCGCAGCCAGCCGTCGGTCGGTGCGTCCCGAAAATTCCAAGGCAGTCAAAGTCAACAAGAATCGCGACTGGAAGAGAATTCAAGAGGATGCCATGTACACATTCCACGCCATTGAGCCGTTGAGTTATCTGCCCGATCCTGAAAAGAGTCGACGGTACCTCGAGCGATTGGCCAATGACCCTGGCATCAAAGCGGCGATGCGAAAGCACAAATTCAGCGTCGGTCTGCTGACAGAGATGAACCCTGCCGAACATACCACACATGAGTCCAAGACACTAGGGCTGAATCGAAATGCCGGGGAGGTGATTGAACTTCGATTACGGACCGATAGCTACGACGGATATCGCGATTATAAAGTCATCAGGAAGACACTCTGTCACGAGTTATCTCACAACGTATGGGGTGAACACGACCGTAATTTCTGGAACCTGACCAAAGAAATTGAACAAGAAGTTGATCGCAATGACACGCTCCACGGAGGGCATCGCTTATCGAATGAAGAGTTCTACAATCCTGGAGACTCATATGATGATGTCGAGCACGCAGATCATGGAGGGTGGAAAGGTGGTGACTTTGTTCTGGGGAGGTCAGAGGGCGCTGCGAGCGATGAAGGCCTGAGTCGAAGAGAGATCATGGCGAGGGCAGCGATGAATAGACAGCGCAAAGAGCGCGAGGCAAAGGAGCACGCGGAGCCCGGCTCTTCGTCATGAGATGACAGAAAGTGCGCCCATATATCTGTTGATTTCAAGCAAGGCTCAATGAGGGATTTTAGCATGGCGTTGGGTAATGTTTGTTCGTAAGTACTATGCATATCTACCTATCTTTAGATAGCTTTGCACGCTCTGAATGTCATGAGTCCAGGTGACTGAGTGGTGACACACCGTGTAGGCTCCTCTGGGCCAAAATCATGAAACTGGCTTTTAGAGGTAAGCCAGTATCAGTGGATCGCCGCACTCGTGTTTAGGATTCAAGCGACAATTGGTTCGGTGGCCGAATTCTTAACATGTCAACTGAGGGATCTTGTGGTGTGGATACTGGATACTGGATCCTGGAAGTGTGGTGCAAAGACGCCCGGGTAAAGCCAAGTCCAGGTGACTCCATGTAAGGTTGGGTGGTTGGGTGCCAAATCGGTCCAGGCCATTCCGGTTCAATTCGAGAAAAGATCTCCTCTATCACTCCCACGCCTCTTTTTCTTGACAGAGTGTTGCCATTTCCAAGTAGCTCTCGCAAAGCGGAAAGAAGATTGAGGTTGCAGGACAGCATTTCATTGAGAAAGGTGGTGGGCTGGATTCACCACATATTCCGCCCCCAATTCTTACCCCATACTTGAGGAAACATTAATCCAGAAAGAAGCGGCTGAATCGGTCGGCAACAGACCTTTTGCGGCCATCTTGCAGCAGCCCGGATCCCCAAAGGGCTAGGTGGGTAGATGGCGAAGCTGGAGCAGGAGTACCGTCTGCGTAATCCCGAGAGATGGACTATTAATAAGTATCAATCAAATACCGAATTGTTCACAACCAGGATACTGGGACCTTGAATAAATTGGTAGTGATGCCCAATTCCCAATTTCAACTAAGCGTTACATGCCTTCAAACAAGAAATATAGTCAGACCGATGAAGATGAATGCAGAACTGACGGTTGGCTATCAACATCCCAATCCATCAGCCTATACCTACCTATGCAAGCACCCATGCCCCCACACCTTTAACCCCGTCGACCAGACAGATTACCAGTAGCTCAGGCGCGTGTGAGTCCAGAGGCCGAGGGGGCCGTATGCGCCTTTTACAAGGATCTGGGTAAGGTACCTATCGTATGCATGATTCAGTACCTACCTACCTTACCTTACCTTACCTACCTACTAACCCAGGCACCCACCCCTAACGATCTAAGGTACTAATAACTGAAGGTACCCGAGTTACATCAGCAGCGGAGCCATTGGGACTGCAACTCTAACAACCAACGTCAGTCACCATTAGTTGTACTCCTACAGTACATACTTGAGCCCGCCTCGTGGCAACTTTGAGACTTCTATCTTTCCGCTTTCAGAACCCAATATCCGTCCATTATCCGCCCAATATCCGTAATTCAAGGTTCATCACCAGCAGAAACCTTCCTTGTTTGGATTCTACTCCTCCACATCATATCCGGACCCTGTTACATTCCGTTGTCGCTTACGGAGTAGAGATCGTTATCGACCCCAACTGCGTTATCTCTGTGCCTGGGGCTCCTACCACTCCTACAAACACCACCGTCACCACCAGTCACCGCAACTGCCACTGCGACTGTCAACGTCACCGTCAGCCATTTTTATTTTACTTTTTGACTCATTATTCAACCGTTTTCTTGCTTTTGCTGTTGGTCAGTCCTCACTACATTCAATCACCTTTGGTTTTACTCTTGATTTCCTTGTTTCCTTTGTTTCCCCCCCTTCCACCCCTCAGATATTGCAGATGATACTCTTGGATCCATACTGAATGCCTCTCTTAGACGGCTCGAGGTTTCCTCCTCAGCCTGGTGTCTCTGGACCGGGCATTCCAGCCCCTCCACCGCCCGGATCCGTGCCTACTCGACAACTGAGCGATCAATATTCCAATCTAGCCAGAGTCGCCATCATGACTAATGCATCCTCGACTTCAAATTCTCTGTCCGATTCATCTCTCAACCATGTCGCCTACCATTCGAGCCTGATGCCTCCACCCAAGACTGCCTTTGGAAGGACTCCTTCTTCCTACTCTCCCGCGAAACCAGTCCCCCAATCTTCACATTCACTCGGAAAGGCCTTGACTGATACTCCTGCTCCCACCGCTCCGTCCAGCCCACAAATGTAAGTTTGCATTCTCCACCAAATTTCTACTTGCGCTCATCCATTACTCTTAGCCATGGTCGAAGTGCCAACGTTTCTGGGTCTGCAACCCCAAAACTTCGTGCCACAACGCTCGACATCCCCGGCCTCACTCGATCCAAAGTTTCCCCCGACGGTCGTATATCAGAACGAGATGTCGGTGCCAAGTTGATCATTATTATGGTTGGTCTGCCAGCCAGAGGCAAATCCTATCTGGTCAAGAAAATCAGCAGATATCTCAACTGGTTACAGCATCCCACAAAAATCTTCAATGTTGGAGACCGCCGCCGAGTGGCTGCCGGACAAGGCCCACCCATGCCAGATCCAACACATGTTGCCCTGCGAGCCTCTGTCCAACGTATGAGCAGTACCACCACCGGTCCGCACAGCATCGTCGAACACGCTGATCTCCTGCCACCCCCTGCCATCAAGACCGAACTCTTCCAGAACGGTCAAATCACGTCCGCATCGCCCATCAGCCCACTGCAGATGAATGGAAACACGGCCGACCACGACCTTTCAGACGCCATTCATGCCCCTGCTCCAGAACCCATGGATCAATCCGCTCAGTTCTTCGATCCCTCAAACACAAAGGCCAAACAACTGCGAGAACAGGTAGCCCATGAAGCCCTCGACGAACTCCTGAAATATGTCCTTGAAGACGGTGGCTCTGTGGGAATTCTGGATGCCACCAACCATACCCAGGATCGGCGTATGTCTTTAATTAAACACATCCGACAACGGGATGAGAATATCAACGTTCTCTTTTTGGAATCCCGCTGTCAAGACCAGCAACTTCTCGAGGCCAATATTCGACTGAAGCTCTCTGGGCCCGACTACAAAGGCAAAGACCCCCATCAATCCTTGAAGGACTTTAAAGAACGAGTGGCCCAGTACGAGAAGTCGTATCAGAAACTCGACGAATTTGAAGAACAGCATGACATGCCTTATTGTTCCTTGATCGACGTTGGCCGGAAGATGGTCAGCTATCGGGTCAAGGGATTTCTCTCTATCCAAACAGTCACCTACTTGATGAATTTCAACCTCGCCCCTCGACAAATCTGGATCACCCGCCACGGAGAGTCTATGGACAATGCCAACGGCAAGATCGGAGGCGACAGCTCCCTCAGCCCTGATGGCGTGCGATATGCTCAGTCTCTCCCGCGCTTCATCGCAGAACAATGGAAGCTCTGGGAGCAGGCCCAAGCCGAGAAGAAGGCCAATTCGCACTTCCCGCCTCTGCCAGGAGACACCACTCCTCCCAATCCAGAATATGCTGCTCAAGCCGAACAGGAGAGAAACTTTTGTGTGTGGACCAGTATGCTCAAACGAAGCATCGAGACTAGTCAATTTTTCAGCGACGAAGAATTCGACACCAAACAGATGCGCATGTTGGATGAACTGAATGCCGGATCCATGGAAGGAATGACCTATACTGAGATTCGGGAAAAGTTCGCCAACGAATACGAACTACGAAAGCAGAACAAATTGCATTACCGCTATCCGGGCCCTGGTGGAGAGGGCTACCTGGACATCATCAACCGGCTGGGCAAGGTCATTCTCGAAATTGAAAGAATGACGGATCATGTCTTGATCATCGGCCACCGCAGCATCTGTCGAGTTCTCTTGGCATATTTCATGGGTCTCAAGCAAGAAGACATCAGTGATCTCGACGTCCCACTCGGCGTCGCGTACATGCTCGAGCCGGTAGGTAACGTCCATGGCGTTGTGTGGATATGTTACTGACAGAGTTACAGCGACCATATGGCGTCGAGTTCAAGGCCTATCGATGGGATCCTCAAACCGACGAGTTCCGATATGAGCCAAACTACCGAATGAGGCGAGCAATTGACCCACAAGCATGATGTTTTGACATGATACCCCTTTTGTTTTTGTTTCTCTTTTTGTATTGTGGCCATTTCCTTCATGTTTCAACCCAGAAATTGGACATGTTTTCAACGACATAAATATATACGGCCTCTGAAGTTCGCCGCTGGGGTGTTGCGGTTCCACGTATCTTGGGCGTCGGTTTTACGATTGGACTAATTATTATGGCTCTTTTCAGGCAAGACAGCTGTTGGCATGACCGTCCTGGACTTTGCCGCATTGAGTCTTGGGTTGATTGGTGACTCTTGCGGTCGATGGATGGATGTCCTTTGTTTGCTTCTTTTACAGTTACAGTGTGTGCGTACGAGCGAGGAACGGATGGGCTAGGAAACATAAGAGAACCATCTGCGAGCATGGACCAGCGAGGGTGTTGGCGGCGTCGTTATGTACTTGGATGATGCCATCGAAGACGGGTTCTTTGAACGGCGCGGAATTACTGCTCATGGTTATTATATGTTAACACGCGGCTGGGCGAAGCAGCACGTGGCATAGGAATGAGAAACAGGCCATCTTAGGCTTGTGATTGCCGAATCTGTATAACTGATCCGTGGTTCTCGCTGATACTGAAGCAGCCATACAGATCATGTCCATTCGATTTCCATGTTTAATATTTCCATCCTCTCGAGTGTTGGTTGCAGTTGAGGAGATGCTCTCGTACCCAGGATGGGAGATGTGAAAGAATACATATTCATCGTAAAGCTTGTGATGAAGCTTCCCTGGTGACTGGCGTCACAACATTTAAAATTAACCAGTTTGTGAACTCAAGTATACATGCTGTTTTCCCTAGCACACACATTCGATTAGTCTGTTGGTTAGGAGGTAATCGTGAACCGCTCACGTGCAAATGTCAACAACAAACACTGCAACCCAACCATACGTAGGTACCCACGTACCTTAGGTCAGGTAAAGTACCTAGGTATGGAAGTCATGTATGCAGACAATGTACCTGAGATGGACAATAATATCCTCATTGATGGATTTACTCTGGGAAATGTAATTAGGGTGTGCGGTTTGTACTCCTAAGCACCTACCAACCTACCTACCTAGGTAACTTAGGTGCCCTTAGGTACAGAAGTATATGCGGAACTTGATAAACCCTCGTAACCCGCAGTCAATCTCCCCCCGCTTACGTTGATACGCCTACGAATAGAAATTATAGAATACGTACCTAGGTACGTGACTCTCCAACTTATTGCCTTACCTACCACCCTACAGTGCCTGCGGTGCCTGCGTCCCTGCGTCTGCTCCTATCAGGCTGGCGCGTATTTCACTGGTTGGTCAAATCATTTCATCCCACCCCATGTCCACCCTCCCACCTTCATCACTCACCTCCTCCTCTTTATACCCTCACAGCCACCTCGGACTCCTACACATTGACTACTGGGGCATTCCTCTGTCCGTGGAACCCAATGTACCCCCCCCTTAGCATTCGCTCGCTAATAGAAATCCAAGGTCAACAAGGGTTGCCTTGACTTGAGTACAGTCCCCGATCCTTACTCCAAACTTCCTCTCAACCACACCTCCCCCCCAGTGCCCCCTTCAGAATCCTAGGTCTGTCTACCTACATGCTTTGCTCACAGCTGATCAGACACCCCCTTCACGATTCACTTTGACCGATACCTACGGATCTATTCCGGCATCAGGCCCTCCGCTCCCTTTCCTCCACCGCCTAATCAAGATATATCCCTGGCTCCATCCTGACCCCTTCTGCTAGCAAACCTTGTTGACCGACCATTCAACCTCACCCCTTCATTCTTTGACATTGACATGTTGTAAAAAGCCTTGTATTTCTACATGGCCTCTGCGCTACAAAACAACCACCCAACTCTGTAGTCCAACACCTTCAATCTGCCTCGCCTACTTCGCTTCGGCCTTCTCCACTGCTACCGACCCTCGCCTTTTACCAAAATCATGGCCCAGTCAGCATTGGGATCTCGGGCAAATGACCCTTCCCGCTCCAGTCCGTCTCTCACCAGCACAAATGCCGTCGCAGGTATCAAGAGAAAGAGGCCCGCCGAACGCAAGTTCTACGCCGTCAAAGATGGCAAGAAGCCAGGCATATATGACACTTGGGACCAATGTCTGAGTCAGGTGAGAGGTCACAAGGGAGCAGTGTGTATGTTGAGCGTCTGAGTGATGGAAACACGTCAGATGTGCTGACATGGCTATAGTCAAGGCATTTCCATCTCTACACGAGGCTCAAGCCTTCATGGATGGCAAACTCGTCAAGAGCACCGATCCCAATGGAGAGCAAAAGTTCTATGCCGTCCAGAATGGACTCGTCCCCGGGGTTTATACAGCATGGCATGAAGCGCAGGCTCAGATCCGAGGAGTGAGGAAACCCAAACACAAAAAGTTCAATACGCGAGCAGAGGCCGAAGCTTTTGTTGCTGCTGGTCAGAAAACCAACGGGTTCGGCGATGCCCAAAACGCCAGCCCGGGGGAAGAAATTCGACGTCTTATTGTTCGCAATTCAGCCCCCGGTCTACACATGAATGGTACCTATTCTCCCATCGACAAGGATGGGACTCCCTATGAAATTGGCCGTGGCCCCCTTCCTGCCGGTGCGGAAGACGGCTTCGATCCAAATATCAAGCTCTCTGCTGACGGGACTATCGTCAATCGTACAGAAGAGGAGAAAGAACGAACAAAGATTGTGCCCAAGGACCGCGATCCACCGGGCATGCTCCGTATCTATACAGACGGATCGAGTTTGAAAAATGGTCAAGTGGGTGCCAGAGCTGGTGTGGGCGTGTATTTCGGACCACAAGATCCAAAGTATGATGATTCTCCACTATCCCGCAAATCTCTTGATCATCGTATCTACTTTATCGACTGGGCGGCGAGAGCACGAGGATCCACGCCGGGCGATTCGACTCCCTCTTCCACTGCACCGTCCCCTGATGCTGTCAATCAGAAGCAGACACCAATGCAGCAACATTTGCGACCGCAAGAACCTAAGCCTGAAACTGAAAAGCTGACCAATTGGCGTTATAGAAATGTATCGGAAGCTCTCAAGGGCAGTAAACAGACCAACCAACGCGCCGAACTCACCGCCATCCTTAGGGCCCTGGAAATCGCCCCTCGACATCGAGAAGTCACCATATACACCGACAGCAAATACTCGATCGACTGCGTGACCAACTGGTACAAGAACTGGCAGAGGAGGAATTGGACCACGGCGGATAGAAAGCCGGTGGTCAACAAGGACGTTATTATGGAGATTCGAGAGAAGATCGAGGAGAGGGAGTCGTTGAAGCGAAACACCTATTTTGTGTGGGTCAAAGGCCATGCCAATGATCCTGGCAACATCGCGGCAGACCAATTGGCAGTGGCGGGGGCCATGTCTGGGAGAGGGATCCAGGATGATATTGAGCCCTTGACTGATGTGGAGCCCAGTGAGCACGGAGAGCATGAAGATGACGGTAACAGTGCTATCCGGGCCGACATGCGACGCGCGGTTGAGTTCGACAGCGATGACGAGTTTAAAGGAGCATGACCTGCGTTCCCCCCCCCCCCCCCATCACGAGAAAGCCTTGTGGACGCGGGTCCAGATTCTGGACTGCCCTCGGAATGTCAACATGGCCGTTATGTGCGATAGATGGTGATATGATCATTTGATCAACTCCTATAGCTGCAGACAGAACCAGACGACATTCAAGACGTGTAGCTGAATATGGACTTGGTGACCCGCGAGCTCGAATAGAGGGTGCGCTGCATGATAAACGTGATTCCAAAATGGCCTCGGGCGGGGCTTCAGCGGTTCAACCTCAGAGTCAAGACCAAAAGGCTGATATATGCAGCAATGCTCAAGCTTGTTAAGATGACGACGACATTGCCACTTGTGCGGAATCTCCTTCTGCCCAAACCCTCGGGCCCGACGTCGCTAAAGAATTGTTTGTTGCCCTGCTGACGACGGTAGGCACTCACAGCGAGGACGCCGGCTCCATAAAGGGCGAACAAGGCCCCGATCGAGTAAAATTCCGAGGTAAAGATCTTGAGTACGATTAGGGCGAAGGAGAACTGGGACAGCGACGTGCGGATGTAAGCGCCCTCAAAGGTCCGCTGAGCTGCCCGGATTTCAACCAGTTCTTCGTCGGTCAGGTCAACGGATCGCGCTCGGTGCAGGCGCAGCCGAAAGGCATCTTGAGCGTGTCGAGTCTACAGTTCAAGGTAAGCTGCGAGATAGACAGGGCTCGTTGATGAGGACTTACGGTGAACATTGGACGAAGACGACATCAAGCTAAGAGAAATTGGGTATGTGGACTCATACGTCTTTCTGGCGATGGATGATGGATGGAGAGTGGTGGTTGCTTTGAGGACGCTCAGAGGTCTGGAATTGAAGTTAACTCTTAGAGTTACCTCTGTGTGGGAGTACAGAGCAAGTGTAGGTACTAGGTACTACTACCTAGGTACCTAGGTACCTCTTAGTACTCCATACTACGTCAGAAGTTCAATTTGGAGACCGCTTGTGAGCGACAAGGCCAAGAGCCAGAGGGCGAGGCGGGCCCCTCGGCCCCAGGCGGCCCAGGGAGCCCCTCGGCCCAATAGCCTTGCCTGAGTAGGTACTTACGCAGGTTGGCTGGCACTGACGCTCGCAGCTAAGGTATACCTAGCACTGCCTTGAAAAGACACAACTCCAGGTTTGTCTCCCATCATCCTCCCATGCGTAGAAACTCATTACAAAAGGTAGTCAACAAGCTAAGGTAGTACCTTATCTATCTTCCTGGTAGGCTACAGTCTGCTGGACTGCTAAAGTACCTAATACGGTACTTATGAATTGCTATAGTACATAAGTACCAAGGTTTGCTTCTGTACAACTGTGTCAATCAGACTCAGCACATGAGGTGTGACTACATAAGGCGTTTGCATTGCAGTCGCTGAACTAATCATGCTGCAGTTCGCTTTTCACACCGAACGCAAGCGAAGGGTCGAGCGGTGACAACGCGCTTGTTGGGGTAAGTCTGCCCGTATGAGTGACATCCATGGGGGTAGTGGGAATGCCCCTCGCCCCCTTATTAGGCTCGAAATGGGTGAAGCTGGCTGACTTTTAAGTTTATCATTGGCTCCAGAAGATAAGATACCTAAGTTGGCCATTCCCTGACCTCTCGGAGCTTGAATCTTAGGGCCTCATGCACTTGGAAGAATCTCCTGAGGTCTGTGTGAGGCTCCGGAGAGATATCCATCATGCCATCTCGCGAGCTCCCCACTCTCCCACTCTCCCGCACATCCACACATCCACACATCCACCCACCCACTCTTCCACCCACTGCCAGTGCCAGTGCCGCCTTCCCACTCATCAATTCCCCAATCATGTCACTTCCATTTATATTATTCAAGATCTACGCTTCTTTCCCATCCGCCACATCGTCTCATGATTTTGATTTCCTCTCGCGTATTGTGAGTGTCTGGGAGCTCCAAGGCGACACCTAGCCTCTAGTTGTCGACGACATAATTTGTGTTGTACCCAACTTCGTCATGTCGAAACTAATTGATTATGCTGAAGGTCAGTAACACATGTATCACCCCATGGACCCCTGCGTCTCTAATTCCGCCTATCCCCGCTGGTTGGATGTCCGCCGTGTGAACAACTAATTTTTCCCGATTCTTGCTAACATATGGAATAGTACAACAACATAGGTCTAAAGAGTCTTGCTGGGTTATCCTCTATGGAAACGTCTGGGATGTGACAGACTTTCTTCCCCAACATCCTGGCGGCTCCTCCATTATCCTCAAGCTCGCAGGCAAAGATGCTACCGAAGATTACGATCCGATCCATCCTCCTGGCACGTTGGAAGAGAATCTTCCTGAGTCGGCACGAATTGGACCCATCGATCCCAAGTCCCTTCCAGAGGCAGTAAAAGCTGCAAAGGATGTCGGTCCCCAACCTGACACCGAGCTCGAATTACCTCTCGCTGCTCTGCTGAATATGGACGAGATCGAAGCCGCGGCGACAAAGAAGATGTCAAAGAAGGGCTGGGCCTACTACTATTCTGCCGCAGACGACCTCTACAGCAAACAACACAACAACCAAGTCTACCGCCAGATTTTGCTTCGCCCCCGCGTCTTTGTCGACTGTAAAGAATGTGATCTTAGCACAACCTTCCTTGGCCTTCACCTCCAACTTCCCATTTTTATCTCTCCAGCTGCCATGGCCAGGCTGGCACACCCAGATGGAGAATGGGGTATTGCTCAGGCTGCCAAAAAGTTTGGCGCCATGCAGATGATTTCCAATAATGCTAGTATGACTCCTGAACAAATCATCAAGGACGCAGGCCCCAATCAGGTGTTTGGTTGGCAACTATACGTCCAGTCGGAACGCAAAAAGTCGGAAGATATGCTCGCGAGAATTAACAAATTGGATGCCATCAAGTTCATCTGCTTGACTCTGGATGCCCCTGTGCCCGGAAAGAGAGAGCATGACGAAAAGGGAAAGTTCAGCCTTGAAGACACGAGCCAGGTGGTCAAGGACGCTGGAGGCACCGAGTTGAAAGGTGGTGGTGGTATTGGCCAATCCTTGTTTTTTGGCACCGATCCAACCTTGACATGGCAGGAAACCCTACCCTGGTTGAAGAAACACACTAGCAAACCCGTCATCCTGAAAGGCTTACAAACCCATGAAGATGCCTACATCGCTGCCCAACATACTCCACAGGTCCAGGGGATCATCCTGTCCAACCACGGCGGGAGAGCTGTTGACACTGCCCCACCCTCGATCCATACTCTTCTCGAAATTCGCAAGTACTGTCCAGAGGTCTTGACCAAATTGGACGTCGTGGTGGACGGCGGCATCAAGCGAGGCACCGATGTCGTCAAGGCACTGGCACTTGGTGCCAAAGCCGTCGGAATTGGTCGCAATGCTCTTTTCGGCCTGGCAGCCGGCGGTGTTGAAGGCGTAGAACGAGTATTAGAAATTCTCCGGGACGAAACTGCCACCGCCTGTCGATTGCTCGGAGCCGCCAAAGTTTCTGATCTCGGCGCAATTCATGTCAACACAAGAGCTGCAGAGCGAGATATCTATGACGGCCCCGCCAACCTGCCAGGTCTTGAAGGTACGTTGAAAGGGCTGTGGACAAAATCAAAGTTATAATGTTGCTTCTGCTTGTGTGTAGTGCAAGGCGGTTTGTCCGTCGGTTTCAAGGCGGAAAATGGTCGCCGTTTCATCTTAGAATGCTTCTTGGCCAATAGAACTTCCAAACCACGTCCGCAGTTCGTCACCTTCGTTCTTCGGCCCAGAAGCGCCATCCTGTGCAAAATAAGTGGACAGTCTCATGTTATCTTGTTCGCTGTCTGCCGGCCAATCTGTGCGTTTGACTGATCCGCCTTTCTGGTCAAGCATGTCTTTTACCGTGCCCCAACTGAATCGACACTCGTTACCAAAACCCCAGATCGGGTCAATGGCAGCCTTGAGCCATGAGACACACCTGGCATCAGACGGATAGCCAGACCCCCAGGATACAGCCTCGTCTTCAGGCGACAGCTCTTGCTGTCGAACATATGCCTCGAGAAGGTCTTCGCAGCTGACGTCCCTTGTGACCTTTGCCACTACGCTGGCAGCACTGACGCATGGGTAAAGGCTGTCGGCCTTTTTTTCCACCCGAACTTTGACAGTTGGAAAGATGAGCTGCAACTTCTTCTGATAGGTCTCGGGTCTCCCGATGGTATCAACGTATAACTCTGTCACATTTACACCTTGCTGGATCACTCCACGGATCAACTCGACCGTGGCATCCATTGCTTGGGCGTTGAGGTTATACGATCCACCATTCTTGAGCATGCCAGCACCGATATCGGGGGCGCTGAGGGACTTAACCGCCCAGCCACATGACTCGAAGAGATCTGTGCCTTGCGTGCACACTGCTTGCATCAGAGCCGCTCTCACTGCCGGAGTAAGGACTTTCGAGTCGTCAAAGTGATGAGTTGTGGCGAGCAACGATTGTTCAATATCCGCCGGAAGATAGAACACTCCGTAGATCATCGGCCCAATTACTGGTCCCCTCCCAGCCTCATCTACACCAAGAACACACGGGGTGCCTGGGTTGATGTTGACTGATGAAGTTGTCGTCACATTCTTGGGGACCGCACTGTAATGTGTGTAGGATCTGCCAGTCAATAATTCTTCTTCGTGTTCTTTGACCGAACCTGGGCAGAATGTTGTGGAAACATTGCTATCCTCTTCCATAGCGATGGAACAAGCAGTTCTGAGACGCTTATGATAAATCTTGAGTCTCGTCGCCCTGACAAATATGGGAAAGATGTCGAAGGATATAGACCCATAATACTGATACTATTCCTGACGCGTCGGCCGACGCGTCTTAGTTCCGGCGTCGGAAAAACTGCCCCGACGCGTCTAGTGCATTTCACCTCTTGCCTCTTGCCTCTTTGAGTCGCAGAACGCCAAGGCTCTCAAACTGTACCCGCGCCTTCCCAATGGGGTCAGCTAACAAACATTCGGTGGGACATGCATCTCTGCTTGATCGTGTCGCAAACACCACCAAATCTATCTACCACTACGCCGGAATCATTTGCTCTGTCCACGAGTACTGCATGTCTTTGATAGCCCGTCGCCAACACAGCTACTCCAACTCAGAGCTAGATTTTGCGATTCGTAGGGTTCCGACTCGCCATGGCTCCTAGACCCGCCGCCCGTCGTGAGCGCGATAATGTCGATTATTCCGCAGTTGGCAAACAGGGAAGGTGAGCGCGAACACAGCGTCGCAACCCAGGAACATTCTGACCTCATGTGCTGCAGACGAACTGGTGTCACGCTGGAACCACGTCCTCTCGACAAGGATGGAATGGAGGAGATCACCGGCATCTTCTCTTCTCCTAGAAAACCCTCCCCACTCAAAGCCGTCATGATTCTCGAAAGCGTCGAAGAAGCAGGTGCGTCAGCGCAGGCTGCCTGCTTTCTATTGCCAGCTCGCTGGAGGCTAATTGCCGTTCTATAGGCTTGATTATCACACCAAAGCAACAGCCATCGGCCAGAAGCTCAACACGCCACGGCTCTGTCCCCCCGCCACGGTCATCGTCCCCTCGTAAGAGTGGGATAAGTGGCACCGCACGCAAAAGCAATGGCGCCAACGTTTTTTCGACGAGAAAGAGCCTACAGCCTCACGACCCAGAAGACCGCGAGAACGAGCCGCATCACACAACCCCAATCCGCAATGCGCAGCTACACCGTTTTAGTCAGAGCCCGGAAATATCACCATTACGCGACATCACATCTTCCAGGAGCCGTAATGCGCTTACTCCAAGTATACCTACGCCAGAAATTGAACACATCTTCCACGAAGATGTTGCAGGTTCTACCGCAGATGAAGCTGAAGACAACGTGGAAGCTAGTATAGAAGAAGTCGAGCCTGTTCTTGCAGATGCGAGTTATGTCCCGCTGGGAAACGACGATGACGATGACGCTGCCGCCGCCGCCGCCGCTGTTGGAACGCCAGATGTTCATGGAACCCCCAAGCTAATATCCACGCAAAGACCGGAGTCCGAGGAACTTGAAACACCGTCGAAAGTGTACAGCAACACGCCTCGATCCCCCATACAGGAGTCAGAACCACAGGCTTTCTCACTCGCCCGGAATGAAGCCAACTCTAGGAGAAAAAGGACTTCCGATGTCTTTGAGCAAGATAATGAGGTCGCGGCCCCCTCAAACTCAACCTCAACCTCAAAGAAAGCCCGGAATACGGCCAGACCCCCAGAAAAAACTCGGACCGCCACGGTGCAGTCAAAGAAGGCCCCCTCAGCAAAAGCCAAGGGGAAGCAGCCACTACGGGAAAATGACGCCAATATGAAAATGTCTACAAGACAAGAAAAAGAACTTGACGATTACGTGGAGAAAATCAGAGCGAGACCAGGCCCGCCACGGTCACTGTATATCCTGCGACGCGAAACACCTGCGGACGATACAGTGACACACACGAGAAGTGGGCGACTTAGCGTCAAGCCTCTGGCCTACTGGCGAAATGAGAGGTGTATCTATGGTGGGAGCCCTGGCGGAGGCGCACTGAAGGATGGTGCTCGCTTTCCACTCAACAGCATCAAAGAGATTGTACGGACGGAGGAATTGCCCCAGCAATCGAAAGCAAAGAAAAAATCAACAAAAGCAAATAGCAAGCGTGGGAAAGCGCCTAGCAAAGATGGCGATTCTAGTTCGGAATCCGAGCTTGAAGAAGGTCCCCAGGAAGACCCTTACGCCGAGGCGTGGGAGATGGAAACTGGGACCTTTCATGGAAATGTTTCTTTGTGGGACCAGCCGGCACAAACAGCAGCAGAGGAAGAGGAAACCATTGAGCTCGCACATGCCCCGGCCGCCATTCAGACTCGAGAAGTTAAGGGCTCCTCGCGACATGAAGGCCCCACATTCAGGTATGCCAAACTATTGAGCACCAAGTTTTTCGGCACCGGTATTGTCGATCTTGCGCCGGGAGGCTATAAGCGACCCAAGAACAGTCGGAAGATGCATATGAGCTTTTTCGTCGTCAAAGGTCGCGTCACGGTCACGGTGGGACCCGTTGGCAGCGAAGAGCAAGGTACCATCAACCGTTTCAGTATCGGTAAAGGAGGATTCTGGCAAGTTCCCAGAGGTAAGTTCGCTTTGTCTTTTTTCTGGGTCTAACATCTGACTGACATACATTTGTAGGCAACCAATACTCGATTGAGAACGAACTAGACAAGTCAGCACGAATCTTCTTTAGCCAAGGCTGTGAGCCTACGCCTGTCATGGGAGAGGACGACTAAAGGTCAGCGTTGATGTCTGTATCATTCTGGTGACCCCCACAGATGAGCCGGCACGCATAGGATTTGTCTTCTTACGAAGTCTAATGACACTTTGGTGAACAGCACATTTGTGTAGATAGAGCATGGCATTCTCAAGAAGAGGCTGACTCGTTAGACTAGAGGTACTGATCTATGAACCCGTCCGTACCCCGTAAACCTGAGCGAGAGTCCCTGATCTGAGCGAGGTGGTCTGACTCCTGCTTCTCGGCCCGACGATGAAGCTTCAGGCTCTAAGCAGGTAGTGCGGCTCATGTTTGAAGTTTGACAAATGACCATCCATCGCAGAAAAGGATGGCGAAGGTCATTAATTGTATGGTGAACCTCTGCGAGCGAGATGACAAGCCGCAGAGTATTGAAGACGCTGCTTGCTTCATCCACAATTGCTCGATGGTTGTTTGACTATACCCGACAAGGCCTGCAATCGAGCTGAATATCATGGCGGCCATGCGTTAACGAGTGCGATTGATTGATGGACGACGAATGCTGAGGGTATGGTAAAGAGACTGCTCAGTTGTAAGACCTAAAAGAGGCCAGGAGATGACGGCAAGAAAGACGGATAGAGGGAACCTTGGGGCTTGCCACGTTTGATTCTTCCAACGATAACCCACGCTGGAGACATCACTCTTCATATCTCCTCCATGTCCTCGTCGATGAGGTCGTCGAGGACAGGGAAATCACCGACTTGGACGTTGTCCGGACGAGCCAGGACACCATACTTGTCTCGAGTCTGAAACAACCTCTTGACTTGGTGTTGGCCGTTGTCCAGCTCAACACTGACACTGCCATCGTTCCTGCCCAAGGGTTCATCGAGCTCGACGCCGACCCAGACGCAACCGGCTTCCCGGGAACCTCCCAGGCCTGGAACCTCTCCCACGAACCTGATGGCGCCTCTACGGGAATCGTCTTTGCCGACTCTACATCTCTGGCCGACCTTGATCCCCTTCTGCGAGATTGCGGTTGAATCAGCCTGGAATCTTTCCACTGCTAGCTCCTCGGCCGACTTGGCATTAGGATCAAACCGGCCCAGCTTCTGCCGCCGCTTCCAGGCCAGTACGGAATCTTCGAGCTTCTCGTACTCGGCCTCGGGCATCTGGTACTTCTCGACTGAACTCACATCCGCAAAGTTGATGGTCTGCCGTAGATGTGATGGCCGCGTGTCACACAGGTAGATCTCGGACCCCTTGCGTAGGTTGAAGCGCGAGTCCCCGACCAATGCCGTGTCGTCGTCCATGGTGATCCAGGCATCGGAATTCAAACTGCGAGTGCGGATGGATTGTGATGATGCAGGAATGCCCGTGATTGGTTCCAGCTTGCCCTTGAGTTGCGAGATGGTCCATGATGGGGTAATTCGTCGTTCAGCGGAGAGAAGAGGTGCCTGTGACCCATCACTGCTTTCGTTGGGAACGATGACCTGCACGGCAATATCGACGGCCGTTGTTAATGACATATTTGTAGATGGCAATCTCGATTTGCGCTGTTGCCATGAAAGTGACAGATGGACTCAAAAGCGCCTGAGTCTTGATAGAGACGAGATGTTGTCGGTTACTAAAATGTGCGTCCACGTGACCTAGGCGTGAGGCGTGAATGTGGGGCCGAGAGGCTCAGGGTCAGGGGCTGCAATTCCATGTTTTCCTATCAATGTCGATTATACCCTCCGATGTCAGCCACAACATCTTTTCTACGCTGATCACAGGCTGCTAGGAATTAATTTAGTAGCATGACTGTTTTGCCTGTCTGTCTTGACTAGTTTATGCTGATAAATCACCTTGATTTGGTGAGCGAAGCGGGATAAAGACTTGCCTGGATGGACCTTCTAAGTCATACATGGCTCTTCCAGATAGTGCTTTCATGATTTTGGGGGCGTAAAGGCCGTTAAGCTATTCTCAGTGCTTTCGAAATGGACTTGGCGTCTTTGTACAGAGGTGTAAGGCTGTCCTGCACTGTGAAGGCTTCCCAAGAAAACCGAGACACTGCCGATACCTCTACCGCTGTCGCTTTGGATTAGAGAGGCTTGCCATCGAGCTAAACTCAGGAATCGGAACTGATAATACTATGGGAGTCATCTACTGGTTCTGTAACCCGTTCAGTTAGAAGCCGCCTGTCTCATCGGACGTCGTTTGGATTCACAGGTTGTAGAACTCCGCGCAGAAAATCTCACAGGAGTTTATGGCTGAAGCAAGCATAATTTACAAGCAGAACAGGCCCTCATTATCTTGTTTCTATCTCTTGTACTTTAGCTCATGGCGGTCAGCATCAGACAACGGCAAGTTGTGCCAACTTGTTGCGCATAATCTTGCCGGTTGCCGTGCGTGGGATCTCGGTGACAAAGTGGAGGCCACCAGTTGGCAACTTGTACTTGCTGATGTGAAAAGCAAGAAATTTCATGATGTCTTTGGCACCGACAGCACCATCGACAGAATCATTTGATAGAACCACATAGCCATGTATCATCGTCTTTGGAACACCCTTGACAAGAACCGTGGCACCACAAACAGCTGCATCATCGATGCATGGGTGGAGCTTCAATGCCTCTTCAACCTCTGCAGGAGACACCTGAAATCCGTTGACCTTCATGATATCTTTGACCCGGCCCTTGATGTACAGCTTTCCATGTGTGATCTCAATGATGTCGCCGGTAGAATAGAATGCATGATTGTCGAATGCTTGAACGAATGCTTCGGAATCATAGAGATAGCCCGAGAACATGGTGGGAGTTCTGATGGAAGCTTCGCCTTGGATCTTGTCTTCAAAGTATTGGCCATCTGCGGTGACCGTCAGTAGTTCAACATTGGGCATGAGTCTTCCAATGCTTCCGCTGGTGTCCTTTTCTGTAGGACCAAAAAGAGTCACCCAGCCACTTTCAGTCGTTCCATAACACTGTGCAATGACAGCTTTCGGAGAGAGCCACGTGTACAAGGATGACTGGGCCACGTGTGGAAGATCGGCGCCAGCACAAATAACATAGCGCAGGCTCTGAAGCTGGCTGTATGGGAATTTTGTCATTTCTTCCTGGTGGATGAGTTCGGCAATGATTGGAGGCACTACGGCGACGTCGGTAATCTGGAATCTGTCGACAGCGTTGAGGAATGATCGAAGTTCAAATCTTGGGAGAAAATGGGTAGAAATAGCTTTGACGAGTGGTAGAATGAGGCCGAGCGGTCCAGCAAAAGCATGGAACAATGGAATGCAGATTAGCTGCGACGGCTGTGCTCTGGGTTAGCATGATTGAAGGCTCTGTACGGATAGTGTATCATCGAACCTCATAATCCCTCTCCCTGAAGCTGAAATCTATCGCTGAAACTTGAGCCACAATTGCTCGATGAGAGATCTTCGCGATTTTTGGTGGACCTGTCGTACCGCTGGTGGTGGAATAAGCTGCCGTGCTCTCGGGAGGTGCCTTGAAAAAGCCACTTGTGATTCGGGCACCACTCTTCAGAAATGCTCGCCATTCGAATCCTTCTTTGTCAAGCATGACGATGCTGGAGAGGGGAATATTGCATTCGGCAGCAGCATCACGGACAGTGTCGATGCAAACTGACTGAGCAAAGATCACCTTGGGGGCAGTCATTCTGAAGTGTCGCGTCAATTCGGGAACAGTGCTACCGGGATTTACCCCAGAGACAATGCCACCGGCTGCCAGGATGCCTAAGAAGACGACAGGGTACGCAATCTGAAGCTTCTGTTAGTTCTGAGTAAAGGATTGATCCTTGCACCGGCGGTTACACCACTTCAAACTGGAGCAGACTTGACACGGTGGAGGGTGGTTTAAGCACTCGTAGGTGAGTTGGGCAAGAACGATTTGGGCACTTACTGTGTTGAAGGCATGGATTGTCACGCAGTCGCCTTCCTCGACACCTCGAGCTCTCAATCCCTGGGCGGTCTGACGGGTGAGTTCATAGGTCTCATTGAAAGACAAGCTATTTTCGCCATCTTCAGCATCGATGAAGATCTGTAGATCCACAATTAGACACACGATCGCCTTCTCCGAACCGGATCAGATCCACTAGGATGATGAGAGGAAGACTTACCGGCTGATCACCGTGGATCTGGTCACGATTGCGGAAGGTATACGAGACGACGTCTAGGTCTGGAAGTGGGGCGTGCTCAACAGACTTCAGAGCAAGAGGAGGAGGGCCTCGGGTGGGAGAAACGTAGCTGGACATGGTAAAGGTGGCTGTGTAACGTCAGAATCGGGATTTGTGTAAGACAAGGAGCTTTCAAAGAGTGGTTGGTGTTACAGACCTTTTCAAGGGACCGAAGAAACCAAGACTGTGGCTACTATAGGTCTCACGAAGGATGCTGGATCGAATTGAAGCGTGAAACCAAAAGAGAAATGACTGGTACGAGGGGTTGAAGAGAGAAGATGAAGTAGAGGTGAGAAACAGAGGTGGACAAATTGCGGAAGGTGGGGCAGAGGGAAAAGAGCCTGGGTGAGATCGAGGTGACTTGGACGCTCCTTCCCAGCCTTCATCGTTTGACCGCACCTAGTACCCGGGCTTCCCTGCTTTTCGTGCAGTTACACCTTGCGATGCAGCCGTATGGCTCTTTCATTTCCTTTCGCTATCATTTACAACTCTCTACTTGTGTAGGGCATGAAGAGGGGCCAGTCTAATGCTAGAGACTCAGAGAATGAGAAGGACACACTGTTCGGTGGGAGTTGGCTCAGGATGTTAGATTGAGCTGAACATTCGCAAGACCTAAGAGACTCCCTTACGATACTGGCATCATTGCTGCGTGAGCCTGAAGCACGGTAAGGTGCTATGATAGTCATGAATACCAGGTAATCAGAGCATACTTTGCTGAAACTTTCAGCAATTGCACCTCCATTAGGTTGAAAGGGGTTGAACTAGCCTATCAAAGCGGTGGACGGGGAGACATTTCCCCTTCAAGCCATATGGTTCAGGACAGGAGAACGATATTATGGTCTGGAATCGCCGAGAAAGTATTCGCCTACTGCCACTGACAAAGGCGATCTGCTCTTCGTGTAAACAAAACGGGGTTTACTCCTGAGGTCTCCTCAGACCCTCGAGCATTTTGACAACGATTGACAGGACGCTTCTTGGTCAGCAAACGAAAGCTTGAAGATTTCAGTCCAAGCCCAAACATTCGATGTTCGCCATTCAATGAGGAAGCCTGTAGGAGTCACCGAATTAGGAGCTTTAGGAGTTTCTATTTTGTTGAGTTGGGGAGACGATGATACTGAAGATTTGTTGCATGCGCCCAAATAGAACAGCATCGTCATGCACCCTGTCCGCTGCTCGACTTGCCTCTCGTGTGGCAAAATTGTATAGTACTACAATGATAGCAGGGTTCTTTTTCTGTTTTGTGTTAAATGGCCCAGCAATACTGACCTATAAGTGCGCCTGCGCGCTCTTTCTGATGTCTGAAGGTGAAGGCGAAATATCTGGCTGGGGTTGGAGCTTCATAATCAGAGATCACATTCTGCTTCTAAGTTCTTGTGAAAAGGGTCATAAAGGTCGGTGTTTGTTAGATCTACCCTGGCTTTGATCAGGGCTCCAAATCAGACTGCCCTCAAAAATCCTCCGCCCTTTCTGTGTTGTGATGTATTTCTGAGGTTGTTTCTATTGTACCACCATGAGCCTAGGAGAAAATGACCGTATGCGGATTTATCAACAGAGCTGACCGGTCCATGATCGGCTCGTATGGAATTTTGAACGTCTTTGGTCCCTCACTATTGCAGTAGATGTATCTTACTCGATGGGGCCTGATCTGGTGTGGATGTCGGTGGATAGGGATCGTGGAACTTCAAGAGTAGGAGTCTGGCTTATTGAAAGGTTAGTTCACGGTCCTGTAGAGCAGCATTTCTTGATCTAGGAAGAACGAAGTGTACTTGTAAAGAGTGACCTCGATAGTCGCAGGACAAATGGTCGAACATCGTCGTAAAGTCTTCAAGGAGAATTTGCAGGTTCATGGATTCGGAAAGGCGAGGCGGAGTGATCTTCGAGCCGGCGTTGATTGAGGCGAAGAATGAGGTTGATGGGCGAGAAAGGAATCTGGAGATTTGAACAAATCGCTGACAGGTCAACCATACTGAAGGAACGGCTTTTGTGGGTGTGCCACCGGCTGATAAACAGTGTGACTTGGATCTAAGATGTCGCCTGATAGATAGAATATCAATTTGGTTTGGAATGACAAACTCCCACCAATGCTCATTCATCAACAAGAGGAAGACACTTGTTCCAGAGTGTGCTCACCGATCATCTCAGTAGCGGGAGATTATGAAGTCTATGGCGACTCTATGTTGAGATGGCACATGTTGGCGGCAAGGCAACGCTATGCTGTTTCCCTCAGAGCTTTCGCCTGGCCTGCGGCCCACACCACAGAGTTAGCATTGCAGAGGTTCATTGTACGATGAATCACCACCACCGTTGTCTCATTGCACAGAATAGGAGCAAATAGGTACCAGCCTGGCTTCCTTTTATCTGTTTGCTAATACAATATGGATCGTAGTAGGGT